TACGCCTGCAAGTGAACCACCTAGAGAGACCCTAGTGCAAGCAGTCTTTGGACAACTATCTAGGTGGGGGCGTACATCATCCTTTGTCGTTGGGACCTTCAGACAAGAGGTTGCCTGTTCAACGCGTGCTTCTAACTGTCTATTTAGGTTTGAAGTCCCAGTAGGAGCAACAACAACTCCTACCGGTCATTCCATTTTGGGTTCCGGATCTTCGAATTGAAGGGAATGATGTGGTTGGGGTCCCCACACTTAAGACATAGCCCCTTCTCCATCCTTTCTTGCCATAGAGTCTGTGTCATGTTAAGGGCCTTCCATGGCTCTCCTTCTGCTCTACCCGAATGCCATGGGTATCCGCAACCCCTACCTCTACCACTGTCGTTCGGAAGGGCATAATTGCCCTTTCCTCCTCCATAGGAGGCAAAACCTCGACCGCCCTGCGGGGATCCTTGACCCGTACCGCCCCAATGGGAGCACCCTTCGCCCCCATTTCCCTAAACGATCTGTCCACAACCTCCTCTACCTCGGCCACGTCTTCCGCACCTACCCCCAGGCCGCAACAGCCGCATAGTCACCACCCTGGGCTACTTGGCTGTTCTCATCTCCTTCTAAACTGTAATCTATTTGTTCATACGGAAGTGCACCTGCTCCTCCACCCTCGAAGGTCAAGAGGAAATGGTTCCTACTTTCTACGTTGCTAGAGATGGTCTTACCCTCCCATCTCTTCCCTTTCTGTAGGTCTTTATATTAGTGGCAGAATTCGGCCTCCTGGAGGAACCCAGCTTGCTCTACGGCCTCCTTGCTAAACTTCTCGTAGGTCATGCCTTCCTCTTTTGTTTTGGGGTACAACTGGGACCTAAGGGGACTAGGTAGCGCTCTAGCGAAGTTCTCTAAAATCTGCTTCGCGGTAAGACCATGATCGAGGCACTGCAGCAACTCGTCCATGGTGGACTTAAGGGCGGGCACACTCCTCCATTGACGCCTTCCTATGTTTAAGAGCGAATACTCAGCCTGCCGGGCCTGATTTTTATCCTCGAATCGCTCCTTAAGGGCTCTAAAGAATGTTCGTATGTAGTACGTCGTGAATACGCTACCATGGTTTCACAACCCGCACTTCTCATTAGAGACAAAGCAAAATTTGCAGCATCTCCCCCTAGGCACGAACTCGCCATCAACACCTTGTCAAAGTGGGGAATTAATTGCGCATACAGGTACGTATCCATGGCCGCCTCCCATTGAGCGAAGCCTTCACTTTTTGGCCCCGTGAAGGTCCAAGGGATCTTCACCTTCATTTTCTCTCTCTTCTCCCCTTCAGGCTGTCTCGCATCCCCCTCCGACCGCCTCCTTTCTTGCCACTATCTTCATCTCCAGGTCCTCCTCCTCCTCCACCCTTCATCTGAGCTGCCAACTCCGTGAGTTTATTCACAAGGATATCTTCTAACCTATGTGCGTGGTGAGCTGCTTTCTGCTCCATGTGGCCGAGGTTCGCTACAACATAGTTATTCCACTTACTCTTCAATTTTTCCTAGTGGGCCTCTATCCTCTACCGCAACACGGGTTGCAGCGTTCTCCTGGGTGGATTGGAGGACTACTTTGGTGAGGAGGGCTAACCGGGCTTGGGCATCAACGTCTCCTTCCTATTTCTCCTTCAGCTTCTGCCGGATCGCCTCCCTCTCCTCTTTCAACCTCTTCTCTTTGTCAAACTCTCTTCTCTTCTGCGCCACCATCCTAGCGCTGATGGCACTTTCCTGATCTTCAATCAAGACGGCTCTCTCACGAGGGTTAGCAGCCTGCAATTTGGCTCGGAATGCCTCCAATTCCTCTTCAGTTTCATCGGCTGGCCCATCCTTGAGGAATCCAAACTTCGTCATCCATTCATGTGCTTCATCCTGCTGTAGCTGGCTGCTTTCCCCTTCTTCCTGTTGTCTTCCCCCTCTTTGCTCTTCCTCTTCTTCTAGAACTTCAATCTCTTCCTCACCTCTTATAACATTTCCTCTTATAACTTTTCTTCTCTTCTTGCCTGCTCCTCCTCCAACTTTTTTTTCTCCTCTTCCATTTTCTTTTTCATCTCCTCCTCCTCCTTTCTCAACCTCTTCGCCTTCTTTTCCTTTTTCTCCGCCAACTTTGCATCAATTTTGGCTTGCTCCTCTAGGGTATACGGTGCGTGGACCTACCGGATCTAGACACCATGTCCAACCCGAAGGCATGGCGGAATCCCAAGGGGAAGAGCATGTGATGGAGGGCCCCCCATATCACGCTGAAGGCCAGGAAGCCAGACATAGGATATTCGTCCATGGTGAGATCCGGGCACAGTAGGTAGACTCCGCCTCCTCATCACATAGACCTAACCCTCCTGACTTACGTCACAATCCCTTGGAGAGCTGATGACCAACCAACTGTTTAAGGTCTGCCAGCAAGGACCTCAAGAAATATTCAATGACGCAAACAGGACGTCGTGGACTCGTGGCCACCAGATGCAAGTTCATTCTCAAGACTTAAAGCCCCTCACTGCATCAACTCCAATTCGGTCGCATGCCAGTTCGTACCAGTCTTAGGCCTAGACAGGTTGTTTTACGAGTGCCCACCGCTCATGCCCATGCTCCCTACTCTCGGGTGATACATTGTTACATGTTGCGCTTGCACACAAGGGCCATTTTCCAGGCCCTGCGTCCCTCAGGCTGAAAGCCTGAAAACCAGGGCCTACGTGCCCCGTGTCTATTCAGCTCGAAAGCCTGAAAAACAGGGGCCTACAGACCCTGTGTCGTTTCAGACTAAAAATGGCAGTAGCCTTTTTAGCCTAAAACGAAGGGCCATTTCCGGTCTGTCATCAGACCGGCCTTCCCTAAAACTCAGGCACCGAACAAGGGTTTTAGGAACATGCTATTTTTGGCCTGTTCCCACGATAGCTGCAGCGCCAGCCCCTGGATCGGTTGGGCATTGGCAAGAGCAGCCTCCTGGACTGCCCGCCCTGCAACTGCAGGCAGTCGGAGGCAGTCAGTCGGCAGGCCTAGGTAGTACATAGGGACTTCCCATGCATTTCACGGGGAGGTAGGAGGCAGTAGTCTTCAGGATTCGGCAACAGCACTCTGGAGGAGCGCTGCAGTAGTAGTCGTAGCGTTAACCTTAGTCTTCAGCGCTGGGCGCTAGTAGCGTTAGTAGTATTCAGCGTTGGGCGCCATAGCTAGAGTAGCACTAGAGAGAGAGAGAGATTGGGCGGAGGCCAGACATACTTACCTGCAGCGCCGTTGCTCCAGCTTCGTCTTCGACGTACCTGCAGCACAGGGCCATCTTCACAGGTTAATACCTGGTATACAAAAAAGAGAGAGAGAGAGAGAGAGAGAGAGAGAGAGAGAGAGAGAGAGAGAGAGAGAGAGAGAGAGAGAGAGAGAGAGAGAGAGAGAGAGA